CTGTGCTAAACATTGTCTTTTTCAAAATTCACCTACATGCCAAGATTATGATTGACTTGAAAATGGGAAAGGTATAGATCAAGAAGGCAGACAATGTTCTAGCTTTCCATTTCTGAAAAACTTCTCAGATGGTGTTTTAAAGAGCTCTACATTCACACTAGTCTCTTAGACTAGACATCGATCTTCATCACAAACTTCAGGTTTGGGAATGGTGCCCATGTCAGTTTACAGGATATTAAAATTTCATTCCCTTGTGATTGAAATGTACATTTCCTTGTGAATGTGAAGCATTTCATTGTGTGGCAGTACCCTCATGGCATCTGTCTGTTCTTAATACCAGTCTAAATGGCACTTTAGATTCTCAGTCATAGCACATTCATTAAAAGACCATGGCTTGATTGCTTATTTCTATACAAATTCCTTAGAAAATTATGCCAACATTTGCACATAGGCTGAGGCTGTATCCTTGAGAAATGCTTAGGCGGTCCTGTCTGAAGTATTTTCTTTTCTGGATTGTACATAGGGTGTGCATTTGAGATGAATGGGTTATTCACGTCTGGTTTTTAAAAACTGATAAGGAGAGGTGTGTGACAGAGAACAGTTATGGACTTCTGTAAAAAAACCTCATGTTTCATTCATTAGAATAAATTAGCCAGAGCAAGTCATGTCACAGTTGCTTGATTCTGAGTGTGATATCAAAGTAATCACCTGATTTGAAGAGAAGCTACTTTTATTTTCTCTGTTGAAAGAGATAATGGATAGCAGTCATGTCTTATTTTCTAAATTTCTTTGTGGTTATTGAGTAATATTTGCTTCTGGAACAAAAGGTGGTTGGTTTTTTTTTTTTCAGATATCTGTTTCCAGAGAATATAAATCTTGATGAATGACTCAAAAACAATCCATAATAATTACTGTGCATGATATTAAAGAATAGATTAAACTAGATTCATTTAAATAGAAACCTTTGTTTTTCTTTTTTTAAAATCTCTTTCTGAAGAACTGAAAAAAAAAATAAACAAACAAACACAAACATGTCTTAACAATTATATCACTTACGTACTCCGGAGTATAGTTCCAGATGTAGATTTTCAGCAAGGTGGGAAAAACACATGTAGTCATCAAGGAAAGCAGAGCTACAAATACAAGCTTACTCTTTCTGCAGGATCTATTTTTCATTATATTTTTTCCTATAATTCCTTGGCTTTCCAGGGCTGTGAGTACTTCTGTGAGAAAAAATGGGGAGAATCTCAGTGATACTTTGAAATTATTAGGTCACAGAAACAAAGAAGAAGGGTGGAAGGTGTTTGATAATGTTATTATCCAGAATGCACAGAATGGGCTTGTATCATTTGAACTAAATGATCATTTAGAAAGGTAATGTATGAATAACTTAATAATATTTTATTTACCAAAATATTTACTTCCAAGTATACAGATCAATGTAAATTAGTACAGTTAAGAAATCATCCACTGTTAATTATTAACTTGCCAACATCTCTTTCTTCTACCTTGCAGTATAAGATCATTTAGATTTGTTACTCATAATTACAGAAAATACAAATTTGTTTAAATATTTTTTCATCTATAGACTGCACACAATGTAATATATACAAAACTTGAAACAGGAAATGCAGGTTTAATCCTAATTTGAAAATGTGATTTAACTACCTAACTACAAAACTATATTTTTTGGAATTTCTTATTAGGAAATATTCTCTTATTTCGTATGTATTTGAATTCATAGATACAGAGTCAATATACTTTACAGAAGTAGGCAAATTTTCACCCTTTAATGCCTTGGAGACAAGAGTGAAAAGGAGGTAGCAAAAGGTCCATTGAAGACTGAGCCCTGTATTATTTTGCATAGTACATTTTTAGCAGTTGATAAAATTATTTAAGATAGAGCTATTTATTTTCATACCTTTTTTTTTTAATACAGGTTTGTGGTCATTCGCCTTTCATTCCTTTTGGAAAACACATACCTTCTCCTCTTTGTTCAGGCTCTGGAAGAAGCTCTTTGTAGCACAATGGCTAATGTGGTACTGTATCGGAAAAGAGAAAACCCATATAATATAGTAGTTTTGCTATCTGCATCCAAAGAATTGACCTGCAAACTTCAAAATCTCCATGAGGAGGGCTACTTTGGTCCCCCAGAACCTACGCAGCAGTTCCCATTAAGAGAAGGAGAGCAGATTCATTTTAGATTTAGAGGAAATATTTTTGCCTCAGGTAAGTTAATTAATTCATGCATCTGGATGCACATTATCAATCACCTCAGCTCTTCAGAAATACTGTATGTGAGCATCAGTAGATTGTGGTTAGTCACAGCACATTTAGTTATTTCAGTCTTTTATTTCTTGTAAGTGGTAGGTGCATGGAACTACATGGGAAACTGCTCCAACTGAAAAATAAAATGTGCTAGTTGAACAAGATCCTGACCAACCTGCTCTAGGTGACACTGCTTTGAGCAAGGGGGGTTGGACAAGATGATTTTCAGAGATCTCTTCCAACGTCTGACATTCTGTGAAACCTGGTCCCTCAGCAATAGCTGGTATTTTATCTTTTATTTCAAAAGGTCAGGATTCCATCAATGGCTTTGTAATATAAAGAACATTTGATAGGAATTTAACAGATTCCAAACAAAAAGAAACAGTCTGCTATTTTATCTGTGTAAATTCACCTAAAGCGAGCAAGATTAAACACTGACATCAAGGGCGAAATGTTGCTTTTTGTGAGTTGCAGCATGAATTGAGGTGATGAGAGAGAGTTGTTATGCCATTTCCATTAGCAGCCTTGAAAATTCCATGCAGTGACTGCCACCATTCAGAGATTTGCTTAAAAGGTAAAGAGATAAGAAGCCTTAGAAAAGTTTTCACCCAAAATTACATATAGTCTCTTTCGTCAGTTTTGGAAAGAACGTATAAATATCTGTTTGGCCCTCTGAATATTTTGTACATAAACTCTCCCAATGAAAACTCCATTTACCCTAAAGAAAGGATTATTCTTCAAAAAGAGATGTCTCCAGCCCACAAGGAATGCATGTTCATATATGCAAATGATAGTGTATATAGATGTATCGATTAAAGAGGAATTACAAATCCTAAAAATGCACCTACTTCTCTGCCTCCATTCATTTTCTTGTTACAGATAGACAGATATCCATCCTGAATAACCAGAAAGCATACGCTTCTAATTCCACTCACAACACCATTTTATTTTTATTTCTCTCTGTGTTATGTGCTTTATCCCCTTCCATGTTCCTTACTTTTCAACTTGCAGCACAGCCTTCACCACTTATTCCTTATGCCAACAATTCAGGGGCTAAGACAGCTAACTGTGAAGACATTTCAACTACTGAAACAGGCTGGCAGGAATGTTCAAACCTCGGATGTTTAGTATTAACAATGATAAAGAACAACAAAATGTTATGTGATTAGCTCTATTTGACTCACCCTAATGAATTATTTTAGGTGCCACACATCTAAATACAGTGTAATTTTTTTTATTATTATTTTGTATGCACTACAGAGAATGGAAAAGATTTTGGAAAAGTCTACAGGCTGATTTTTCATTCACAAAGAAAACCTAGGCTGGAGCTTCAAATTAAAGAAGTGGATGAATTTGGTAACCACAGTTCACCTCATTACAAAGGAACAGCAGTGTTTTATAAAATTACCAGAGAGATGATAACCAAGAAATGGGAACAACCCTTGCCAAATGGTGAATATCAACACCAGTCTCCATTGTGTAAATTAGCGCTAACGTTACCAAAGGTGGGTTTCTCACTTGATAATGTTAGAGATCTTTCCCTTTTTCCCTTAACACATATTTATTAGGCAAAAGGATCTTGATATGATTTTTGCTTTACATATTCACACAGAAGTCACTGATGGAGCAGTTCTGATCCATCAGCAATGTACAAATGCCCTCAGAATTTTTCTTGGCAGATAAGAAGGACCCTCATCCAAGCATGATCATGGAAAAAAAATGTTTAGCAGAAGTTTCTCACCAATTTGCTCTCCCCAAATGGTATGACCCCTTATTTAAGTTTCAGTTATATACTTCCTGTATGCTTATCTTGGGAGTGCAGAATTGCGAATTGTAGGAGCATTAAGTGGTTCACGTAACCTATCTTTCTCCTGTCACCTGATTCTCCTATTATGCCTGATAAACCTCTGCAGTACAGCCATCTGGACAATTATCTCCATCTCTGTTGAAAGCTATTCCTACATAATTAATCTTTAATATTCCTGCAATGAAATCTCATTGTAATCTTTTCAAAGAACCTAGGTATCAGCGCCCTGTATTGTACAGAATGCTTCTGCTAGACTACTGTTATCAAATTTGCATACATTTTAATATAAAAAATGTGTACAGTAACACTTGGTCTAATTCTCTGGTGACAAGCAGTAGCGTCTCTCTGTTTTTGAATTTAATTGATGATTCCTTAAGATATCACCTGAAAATACATCTTTCATTTCATAAGCATACCTCTTGATTTCTCTCTCATCTCTATTCTCCCAAGTAAAAATTAAGAACAGTTAACTGCTGAAGATTTTAAGAGGAGATCTCTTTTAGTGACAAATTCCATATAAAATGTAAGTTTTCTTTGGAGAATCACATGCTTTCAAGCACTTGCTTTTCCACAGGGCTAGCATTTCTTGTGCAGTATTCACAGAGAGGGAAATACAAACTCTTGAGGTCCAGTGGGATGATTAAAAAAGAAAAGAAATCTGTCGCAAATCCCAGGCAACAGTTAGTTTTCTTCCATCCACCTGCCTACCTTCCATCCTGTTATTCCGCTTTATTTGATCTTACTGTGTAATAAGAGTAAGATTTAAAGGCTTGAACTGCATTTGTATTAAACCACAAAGGTAATTATCAAGAGTCTTAGATTTGGGTTGGCATATATAGTCTCCTGCTGTACATACTACTCTATACATATTACACTTCACTATACATATTACACTATACATATTACTATACACATTACAATATACATATTACTTAGATGTTCTATTCAGACTTTTCAAAAGAAATATTTCTAGCTACCCCTTTTCTCCCCCTCTTTCCCAGTGTGGCTGAGATCTTGAAGTCTGGTCAGTCTGTATAAGGGTGTAAGAACATACAGTATATGTGGGTACACAGTAGTACCCAGACAGCCTACTCATTTAGATGGAAATAAATGGAGGAAATGTGTAACGTGATCATTACTGGTAAATTAGAAATTAGAAATGAAGTCAAACCTCAGAAATGGTGATAGTCTTTGGGAATATTTTCTCTATATCTATTTTTTGAGTAGAGGGTCTACTTTCAACTGAATCAGTTCAAGCACAGAGGCCCCAATTTTAATGCACAAAAGGTCTGCTTAGAGACACAGAGTTACTATATCACTTCAGAAACCAGTGTTGCAGCATCTTGCAAATAATTTTGCTTCTGGTAAACATATTTTAAGATGTGCATTTCAAAGGAGTCAGAATCTTCATTAAATGCAAATATTAGGCCAAAAAAAGTGATCAAAATGCTTGAAAACATTTGCATATTGATAACTTTTTAATTACAAGATTTGTGTTTTCTGTCTTACACAGAATGAAATACCAATCTATAGAATGAAGAGCGGCATCAAAATAACATCTTCCCATATGTTGCAAGTCATCTTAGTACACAAAATTTTATACTTTACTATAGTCGGTTAACCCTCCTACTTCTTGATCTACCTTCCATCCATCCAGAGTACTAATTTAAAATTGGTAATGCCTAAAGTCAGGTTTTTTTAATAGAGAAGAAATATGCCTTAATAATTTAGCTATCTCAGTTACCATCTTTTTGAAGGATTATAAAACGTCAGTGAAGCTGGTTATTTGACTTTAGTGAAAAATTAGTAAATTAAATGCAACATACCTTACTATTGGTATATAAATACACAAGGCAAATGGGAATTTCACCCACACCACTATCTAGTGGTATGTAACATTCATTAGCACAAAGTTATAATGTTGTTCACTCTTTTGCTCTTCATACCTTCTTCCAGCCAAGTAAATCTTGAATTCCATACTGTACAAACTCACAGAAATTTTAATAACAAAAAATATTCTCTTTTGGCTTATTTACTGGCAAAAGATAGGGAAAAAAGAGTAGGAAAAAGCGGTTTGTTTTCTCAAGGGAAGATGATTACTGGTAAAGTCCCACACAGATCCAGGCTAACATACTCATGAGAAACTTCTGAACAATGAAGTTAAAAATCTGATGACAGTACAAAATATTCAGAGTACTAAAGTTGTCTGTGAAGAATCACAGAATATGGTGATACTGAGCGACTAGAAAATAAACTAGGTAATTTAGATGTCAATAAGTGTTCTGTTGGGGTGGAAGTAGATATCTAGTTTAATAGGGATAGACTCTAAATTACCTATTACTACTCAGAAAAAAACCCAGTTTGTTCATTTTGCTCTCTAAAAAATTCCAGAGCGTTCAGCAGCAAATAAAAAGATAAGCAGAATGTTCCAAATTATTAGAGAACAAAACAGAAAACAAGATTATGCCATATATCTATGAGGCATCCACATCATGACTGTACCCTGCAGTTCTGGTCACAGAACTCAGAAAGAGGATTTTGAAGAAGAGGAAAGAAAGGTGATCAGAAACGTGGAGAAGTTCTAGGTAGAGAGACAATACACTTCAGGCAGTTTCAACAGAAGTTTCAACAGAAGTTGAAATATTGTATACACTTATGAATATTATGAAGGAACCGACAAGGGAATGACCCCTTTCACAGGAGATAAGAACAATGATATTGTTAAGTGGCAGGTGTAACTAGTAATGTAAAAGAACATACTTTTTACACACAAAAATAATTAAAAGGTGAACTCATTTTCACAGGATATTTGCAGCAGTTAAAAATGTGTTTGAGTTAGAAAAGGAATTGACTGGAAGAGAGACAGAACCATATATTAAACATAATGATCCAGATGCAATTAAATGCCAGAGCAATGAAAGGAAATTCTAATTACTTATTGTATCTTATGTGTTCTAACATTATTAACAGTGATGAAAGCACTGACAATAAAAAATAACATTAGAACTTTTATCCTATTTTTACTATCCGTGATCTGATCAATGTATTTGAATCAGATATATCTTCACACATAGGTAGGCTTTCTAATGAATAAAAGAAATAGAAGGAAATAATTAAAATTGGATGAGAAAACACATTTAGGGAGAAATTTAAGGCCCTAATTATACAAACACGTACACCAGCCATCTGTCAAATGCGACTGCTATTTACCACTTCATTAAAGTACAAATCTTGTGCTAGTGTTCATATAATATGAACAGAGACTAGCACTGTCCATAATTACTCATATGCCGATGCTATTAATATATATTGCCAAAGCACCTAGAGTTATCTGACCACATTCGTGTGCGTAGACATACACTCAAGCAATGATCCTTCAATTTTGCTAGTTTCTATCATGTGTATAGTATGACAGTACAGCAATTAAGCTGCCACAAATCTCACAAGCATATCAAAACGTAATGCTCAGTGTTCGTATCTAACCTATCGATAATGCTGGGTTTTTTATAGCGTTGCTCACACTAACACAGCTGGGTACAGAATTCCAGTTGTCACAGTAAGGCTTTCATAATTGTGAACTAGTTGACTCTAAGTTGTAGCATTGTTGATGGACCTCTCACTTGTTCCCAGTATGCCAGGGGAGCCTTTCATGGTTTGGGAATAAAATCCTAAAAATAGCAGTAAATGCAGGGCAAGAACAGCAAAGACTATTTACATTTCTACTAATTTGTTGAGTTAATAAATACCTTAAGTTTAGTTTAACCATGTTAATGGATTAGTTTTAATACACAAGAGATCAGAAACACTCAGTGTTGCCAGTAACAATAGAAATTTTCTCAACAAAATGAGATGAAGTTTTGGCTTTTTCTTTTCTTTTGCCAGATGATGAAGTTAGAACCACCCACAATGCCTGGTTTTGGTTGTGACAAAGACAGATGGAATCTTTCTGAGGCAACCATTCTGACTACATTCTCAGTCATTTCTGTAAAATTTCCACCTAAATTTCTCTTGAATTGTGGAGAGAAGACAGTAACTGTATAGATTTTAAGACATTTTTATATGTATGTGCCCACATTATCCACTCCCTTACAAATATATTTCTGACAGTGGTCAAAGCAGTGGTTGTTTATTTTGTACGCAACCATTCACATCAGGTTTTGCTTTAAACATGCTACACTCGTACAGAAGTAAGCTGATCTTCACTAACGATTCCTATTTATGAAGCTTTCATTTCCTCAGCATTAGAAAACACTCTTTGGTCAAACCTGTTATTTTCAACACAAGTTAAATACAGTGGATTAGGTTCTGATGTCAAGTACACGTATGCATATCAGTAATATATCTACTGCTTTCAAAGCAGTGGTATTTAGGCGAAACTGGGCTGAAGAGTTTAAGAGGTTAATTTCTCCTTTTATGTCTGTCCTGTTTGATATGCTACTAGAGTCTGGTCATGTCTGAGAGGTCCATTTGACAGAGCACTTCAGTATTACTGGCTGAAATAAGAATGCTTTGCAAGAAGAGATTGTTGTAATACATACAAGCATTATCAAATTACTATTCTGCTGAAGTTTTATGTCTAATGACTGTCTAACAGCAAAATACCATGTGATCCTCTGCTTCAGAAAGGCAGTTGCTTAGCTAATTGAAGGGCCTTCCAGACTAGAAAACTGCTTTGACCGCTAAGAGTATTTTACCTACGCTGTCAGCCGGAACAGCGGGACCACATGCCAGTGAAGCTGAACCGTGGGTGAATTTAGCGCTTCACCACAGATATTTAATCTTTAAAGGCAGATTTAATGTTTTAGATCTAATGCATTGTATATTATTACACTATTTCTAGACAATACTCATTTTCAATTCTTATCATTTTTACTACTATTTTAACATTAAGTAGCATAAAGTGGTTCAGATTAAAGTCAATGCATGGACAATTGAGTTCATCTACAATAACTTT